ACCTGCCTTCAAGTTTCTAGTATGCCTAGTAAGAGCTTGATTAGCTGGTTCAGGTGTGTTTAATTGGGGTTGGAGCTAAACTCTACAGGACACCGGCCCTCCAGGACCGAGTTTGGGCACCCCTGCTCTATGATATGAAAGCTTAATATCTACAGCCCAACATTTGGAGTCTTATTGCTGCATGACTCCTTAATTTAATAGTTTTGTGTACACTGTATATTTTAATTTTTATAGATTTGTCAGTGTAACTTTTTTAACAGTTGGAAAAAATAGTCTCATAAAACATAAATAGAAAGTAAACCGGCTCATATAATATTTATTTTTACCTTACAAGGTTGATGATCATTTCTGAATGTTTTAAATATTTTAAGATTTTCAGGTCTTATTTTGTACCATTTTTCTTGAAATTTCATTATGTTTTGAAAATTTTTTGTTGATTTGTTTTTAAGCATTTTCTCTTTTCCCCCTCCCTTGTAGTATGCTATGTTTGTGTTCTTTGTGTTCTTGGCTGAACTAGTGGCAGGTATATCCGGCTTTATTTTCAGACACGAGGTAATTTTTTTTTTTTTTTTTTACGTTTACGTACAGTATTTCAAATACCATCTGATGTCTACAGCCAAATAATGTTTTCACTTTTTTTTTTAAGATTAAATCAGTGCTTCAAGGTGTCTATAATAAAGCTGAATCAGTCTACAGTGGTAAGGGCAATGAAGATCTGGACAGAATCCAGAGAACAGTAAGCACGTATTTGTTTTATTGGGAGCAGTACAAAACATAGGGATTACATCAAACTTCACTTATCTGCTTAAATGTTATTTTGAGGAATGTAATTTATTGATTTTGTCATTTGTAGCTGCAATGCTGTGGAGAGAAGAACTACACCAGCTGGGCAAACACGGATTACTTCAAAAATGAGGGCATCCCCAAAAGCTGCTGCAACATGACTGCTGGTGTAAACTGCAGTTCTGCAGAACTTAAAGATCTTGACACGGCTGCATCAGTGGTATATCAACGGGTAAGATCTCTGCTGTATCTAAACACTACTACATCAACAAAATCATAAGAGTTATTCTGAATTCTGGAACAAAAAAAATCCTTCTCTTGTAGGGCTGTTTCTCCATGATGACTACAACATTGGAGGCCAATCTTGGAATTATTGCTGGAATTTCTTTTGGAATTGCGTTCTTCCAGGTACTCATCGTGTCCAGTTTATATATATATATATATATACCATATTGGCCCGGATATAAGACGACCCTGATTATAAGACGACCCCCCTTTTTCCAGATGTACCTTTTGGAAAAAGGCTTTTTAAAAACCAAATCTTGTTTTTTCTCAGTAAAACACATTGTCTTCAATTATTTTCATATTGCATATTTTTCCTATTTTAATTTTTGTTTTGAAAGTATGGTAAAAACTGGTAAAATGTACTAACAATCACATTTAAAAAATATACACTTTTTGAAATACCATTAAAAAAAAAAACAGGTAGCCCATCTGAATTAGGACATTTAGGCTATCCATCTAATAGTAGCCTACCAAAATCTTATTTTAACAGTAGAAGTTAAACCTTACTGTAGTCTTCAAATCTGGGTACTGTCTTACCTTTTAAAATCACAGAGAGTTTGGTCCCATCAGGCTAACGTGACAGTCACGACTCATGCAGCTGTAAGGTTTTCTGCTTCTTTTGTTTTTACTCGCGATCTTTACAACACGCATTACATTACGTATTTAATGGCACACTTGTTTTATGCGTATTTGGCGCCACCTAGTGTTGTGGGTGTATTATTGACATGTCAAAGTCTAGACCCTGAATATAAGACAACCGCGTTTTTTCAGATGTATTTCCAAGAAAAAAATATCATCTTATATTCGGGACAATACGGTATAT